GTCTCTACTGTAATAATTTCGAATTTTCCGAAGATTGCATCTCGCTTAAAATCGATGGAAATATCCCAGCACTCTAACAAAATAACAATGCTATGTGATCTTCAAAAACATAGCCCATCTTTCCGCAACTGAGTAAGAGTAGGCGCACACCGTTGCTTTTTCGTCGGCCGATAGTTTAGTCGGGCAGTTGATCAGTATGGGCATGTATGGGAGTGCGCACACTACGCCGATTCGATTTGGCCGATTCTTCATACAAATTAAAATCGGGCATAACTATGGGCCAATTAAAATTCAACGGTGTGCGCCTACTCTTAAGCTAAAAAATGTTTTTTTTTTAAATTTTTTTTATGCAAAACTAGGCAGGTATTTCACCATAATCGCACCTGATGTTAAGTGGGATGCAGTCTAGGATGGTAGGTACATATCTGCCCTGCAAGTGCCTCCTATTCACTCTCGCCTTGAAAAGGCCCGAAATTCGCGTTGTTTTGCCAACCCTCCGCGGGGGTGGCGGGCGCTATGTGCTGAGCTATGTAAGGGGTTATCTCCTCCGTCGGTGCTCTATCTAAATCTGTACTATCGCGCCGCCGAATAATTATTATTGCATGTACAGTACATAGCCGCCTGGATTCAATTGATCCGCCTCCGTGATGCCCCTGATCTTCTGATTAATACAAATCGACCGAGATTAGATGCGGAGCTAATTTAATTGGTTTGGATTTGAAAGGCAATGTCATGAATATGAGGCTCGTACGTGTAAACAACCTACAACGTACAAAGCAGTAGGTAGAATATTAAAGCTATTTGTATTAAAAACTCGTGTCCGTCAAAAGGTGTGATTCTGGCAGTCAGAAAGAATAACTTTTTGGAACCAACAACCTTTTATCCATATAAATTCTTCGGTCATTTAGTAAAAAGTGGATTTTCCTAGGAAGCTATAGCTGAAACTTAAGGGACCGAATTTGATTCCCGGACAATCTTTTCTGAATCGACCCCCGTCTGGAGCTGGGAGACGCCCTCGTTATCCAAATTATTCTTATCGATGTAGCGTCCTACTTGATTACTCGAGATCATGACAATCGTCTGATCTAGCACATGGGTAAATAAGTAGAATCTTTGTGGGACAACCCACAAAATAAAGCTTTTGCAGGGAATTGCTCCAAAAGATTGGCAAGTCTTGAAAATAATCGCTATTCGTAAGTACCTAAGTATGTATCATCAACAATACAATGCAATCGATAATATTGTAATTAACTTTGTCCATGACTGTACAATGTACGGTCGACAGCTCATCAGACTATACATTTTTGTTATCGCTCCTATTACAACGGCATAAAATGCAACAGTGTTTAGCAAGACGTGCTGTCGTCTGTACAAGCTGCAGCCTTTTCTCGTACAAAACACGCGAAGGTACAGCATAACGAGTCCTCGATGCCCCTCAAAATCACGTAAAAGCTTAATCCCGCACAAACCAGTTCCTCTCAGGACAAAAGGTGGCTCAAGGGCGACGCAGGGCACGGCCGTATGCCTTATCGACCCCATCGCGGCTGCAAGTGATTTTTATTCAAGGAAGTGCCTGAAATCGGCTGTTCTGGTCCATTTTGCGCTTAGATCTACACGCTTGAGTGGTCCAGAGTGGTTTGATTGTTCAATATTCTGAGTGTCGTTATAGAATCACTCGGGAGCTAATTTTATAATCTTTTAATTTAAGAGTAAGTACTTAGATACTTACTCGTATACGCATTGGAGAAAGCATTTGTAGTTTAACTACGGCTTCCGGTTCGGTAAACGTCGTTTACTAAACGAATAAATCCATAAGTATTGAATGTTTTAGTTAGTGCTCCAAATCTTTACTGAAATTTTAAAATAGGTAATAAGTACAATTCATATAGCCTGATAAACATTTGTGTGACGACTGCTTATGTTTTTACGGCATGCAAAAAGTTTAAAATGCATTTTAATTAATCCACAACAATTTCATCTTTGGTGTACTAAATACTAAGGCCGAGTTGTACCAACTTACTTTAACGGTAGCTATAACGGTAACCGGTGCTTTTTGTATGGCGTTTGATAGATTTTTGACGTTTGTTAAAGTCAAAGTAATATGGTGCAACCCAGCCTAAACTAACCAGAAGACTTTAGTATTTAGCCTTATGCTTAGTACTATTTGATTTTATCTGTACCTGTCTGTAAACATATTCCTGAAAACATTTCCAACGCATAAATAAGCGTACAAAACACCGTGAAATGTCATCTGAGCCGAGCCAATCCACAAATCGTCAATAGCGAATCACCGGCGCATCAGCACGCGACGTCTCGCGGCTGGAATGGCGTCTAACCGGATATTGTATCGCGCCTTCATCTCCGGCGCGCTTCCGGATCCGGCCGCCCGCCCCCCGCCCGTGCGTCGCCTAATTACCTCACAACCTCACATATTACAGGCGAGGTACCTGCGATGACGGTTTGTCATCGATAACTAAGTTACGTAAGCTTTGATTACTGGTTTGATGTTTCTTCTGTAACGGAGGCAATTGTTGTTCTATTAACAGTTTAACACTCACTCACATAACACCAGGTGCGATTGCGGTCAAATACTTGCCTTGTCTAGCATAAAAAAAAATTGTAACATACATATTTTATGAAGGAACAGAGAATGGTGTGACTGGAGCCTAATGTAGGGCAGCCGTGTATAGCATAAAAAAAACAGTACATAAGGTAAGATATGAGAAAATGATTTATCAACCTCTTTAATTATTATCATCATCACTGGTCCGTTGTTGTACTGGCAAACTGCTTTATTTTCCAGTAAAATATTCCAACAGTCGAACTGGCATCCTCTAAAATATCCAGCGTGATGTCTGTCTAAACCGCTATAATAGGCTAAATTACAAAATTTAATTTTCAATTCATACAAACTTGTAATTTATTTAAGATGTTGCTGGACCCTTCGATGTAATTAACCTCATGACATGACATGAAGTTCTTTGCTTAGTTATTAATCTAATTATCAATATCACATATTCACACTACTTACAGAACAAAACGCATATGACACGAAAATGATATTTTAAAACCCACCCCAGCATCCAAACCACATGAGTAGAGTGTGAACACACCACGACACACTTTACGAATGTCAGAATAAGCCCCCAGGCGATCGCTAAAGTATTTAAACTGCGTTTATGCCACTATTGCTGTTATTTTATTGTGTTTATGAATGGGGATGCAAAGAAAATAAACTAGGGATGGGGCAATTGACAGCAATGTTACTAGCATTTCGTATGTTCACGTTAATTTAATGTTATGATTGGTGCGATGACATGTTCTCGACAGTGCTACGAACAGTATTTCAAGGGAAAAATAAAGAAGTGTGCAGGTGGTGTGTATGTATTATTTATCTGTAGTTAACCGGTTAACAACTGGTTCTACTTAAATTATAATAATGAGGGATAAATTAATGGAGGAGGGTGGGGTTAAACGTGTTCGATGCAAAACATCTCAAAGAATAGACATGCTACAAATAAAATATTAGTCTATTGTGAATCATAATATTGTGGTTCTCTAAGAGTTAAAACTATTAATAATTAATTATGAATTATTTAGACTCCATCCAAACTCAATTTAAGATTCAAAATTGATGAAAATCTAGAGTCAGTTTACTTGTTGTCTAACTCGCCTTTAATTAAAGTTTTAACTTTTTATATGGCTGCAGTAATACGGTGTTTACTTAATTTAAACGTGTCAACGATCGTCTTGTTTGTTGTCTGTGCTACTTTTTCTCCCACGCACAGTCTATCCACTCGTAGCCGTGGCAGCTCGAGTGAACTGTAAAAAGCAACATAAAAGTGTCATGTATCCAGTTCATTAAACGTGCATTATCTATCCACAATACATCTTTCCTGAAGGGAAGCGGAATTAGTTTGAGTGATGCGACGCGTGCGGTCACCATCGAGGCATAGACAATGCGCGTGTCCCACCCTTCAGAAATGTCATTTTTCATTTGTTTTTAATACCGCAAAAACGTGGCAAAACAAATATGTATGATCATTCTCATTTATGTCAATACAACTCCTTATCATACTTGAGCATGCTTATTACGGCTCTCAAAAATAATAGCAATAAATAGTTCTTAGTACCCAATAAACATATTCAAATTAATAACCACTATGAAAGGAAATCGACCATTACTTATTAATTATACCCCGATTAATTAACTAATTAAAAAGTGCCAGAGATACTAAGTTAANAATGAGATTATTAAACTGAAATTTTTACTGATACATTCAAAGATACCAAAGATACAAAGCTAATCATTTTAAACGACAAAATACTGTAAGACTAAATTTCGGAGATAGAAAAGATAGTCAATCAATATTTTGGACAATATTAAACTATCAACAAGTACGATCCACTATTCAAAATTATCAAATTAATTTATCAAGGACAAAACAAAAAGTCCAATAAAAATATCTTACAATATCTGGCTGCCATCATCAAAGACATTCAAAAACAATTTCGCTAGACATTAACGAGTTTACTCTGAAAAAATGCAGGCCGGGCCCAGATCGATACTGAAGCCCCGCGCCCCGCAGGTGCGACGAGATAATCCACAAGATGGCCGCCGATAGGACGTGACGTCACAGCGCAGCCCCCTCTCCTGGCGCATCCTCGAAACCTCACGCCACCCTCCTTAGATCCTTTCAGAAATCCGCTGAGTACCGTCAGCAAGGAACACTGATTAGTATTTTTTTTAATTCAAAAAATTTTGATATTTGATGCTCGCATACTCTTAATTCTTTTGATTCCATTCCATTTTCCCTTTACTTTTGTCGTTTTTTTTTTTCAGGATTTTTCCATTTATTTCATTTACCTATCTGAATAGACCGTTTAATAATGTATAAGTTCAGTCAATATTTTTTAGACTTTATCAATCAATATTCTTGCACTATCAATAGCTGTAGCTACATAAGGTGATGGTAAAGGTTTAAGGCAAACAAAGCAGGTAAATTTGGAATAATTTATTCATCTAGCTAGATTATATGACTAGGTCTTATAGGGCTGGGATGGCAACAGGGTCGGGCAGATGGGCGCCGTCGACGTGGAAGCCGTCGGGGCCGCCGCGGTACTTGGTGACGTAGAGCTGGCCGTCGTCGCCGATGAACTGGTACTGACCCTCGATTTCGAGGACGTGGCCACCGTTCGGGCTGGGGATGAGCCGTCCGCGCTCTGATACTACGGTGTCTGGAAAGGTAGAGTTCGATTTAGACAATTTATTTTCATAGTGTCAATAGAGGATAACAAATATTTGAACACACCATTGTATGTTATTGTTGTGATTAATTATATCAGAATAGCATAAGGAGACAAATAGACTGTCTCATGAATGACGGTAATTTTTTGGGCATAATGATGCATCAATAGACTAGGTCAATTCAATGATTCAAATGTTGTAGAGTCGTAGGACTGAAACCTACCGTAAGTAAAATCAGTAGTTCTGTTATGAGACGCGATTAGATTTCTCATGCACACAGTGTAGTTCACTTTTAACTTCAACCCATTCACTGTCCACAAACGAGGGGATTTTATTGGCGGTCAAGCTGTAGATCCTGGCTACACAGAAGTTGCAGCGGTGAGAACGAGAAGTGTCCACAGACGGCACAACAGCATCAACACTATTAAAACAAATAAAGCATTAACAAGTTACAAGATACTCACTCTCAGCAGTGATGTACCGGAGCGCGTACTGGCCGTACTCGTCGTGCACTTCCTCATGACGCACTGCGGGCAGCTCCCGTAGACCAGAATGCGGCGCACACAGCGCCACGGCTACCAGGCACGACAGGACCACGAACTGAGGAGAAAGGACAATGTTTACTAAAAGAAACATCATCATCATCAGGTCATTTAGTCTCCACTGCAGTCTGCACCTGTAGTGGAGACTGTCCACCTGGAAGACGCTCTAATTTTCCAGAGGCAAATGAATGATTTGCTCTACACTTCCCATGCTGGCCAGAGGAGTTGGGAAGACCTAAATAATCTTCACTGTTTGGGTTATGGTGGTAAAGCTGTAAAGTCTGGATACACATGAGTTGGATCAATGGAAATCAATGGACAATCACATGAGTTGGATCAATGGAAGATTCGTTTACGGTTACTATTACTTCCAATGGTTCACAAACAATTTTTGAAATTAGGTACTTACGGTTTTCATGTTGTTGGTTTTGGGGAGTGCTTCTTGCTAGACGAAAACAAATGAAATGATGATATTGATAGAGAACATTTTCAATTTATACTCTGCGGTTTCAAAATTGCAACAAACAATGCAGGTGAACCAGACCTATTTAGCAAACGAGAATACAAATTACAATTGCTACACTATGAATTAACGACTGTCATTAAAGTTCGCGTCAACAACGTGAAAGTACCTAAATAACCTAGGCAAGTCATACTCAAAACAAATAGGCATATACTCGTAGATGGATATTTTATTATTTTGTTATATTATAAAGTTATTGTAAATATCTCAGTGATATTGAATGAAGAGAGAACGCAACTCTGGAAAACTAGCAAGATGTGCTTATGAGTGTAACCGTGGACTAAAATCTTAGAGAAAAACCTAGTGTTTTTAGATGGTGAATTTTTTTGTCTCTACTCCAATAATTTCGAATTTTCGAAGATTGCATCTCGCTTAAAATCGATGGAAATATCCCAGAACTCTAACAAAATAACAATGCTATGTGATCTTCAAAAACATAGCCCATCTTTCCGCAACTGACTAAAAAGCTAAAGCATGAATTTATTATTCTTTTTTTAATGCAAAACAAGGCAGGTATTTGACCACAATCGCACCTGATGTTATGTGGGATGCAATCTAGGATGGTACATATATCTGCCCTGCAAGTGCCTATTCACTCTCGCCTTGAAAAGGCCCGAAATTCGCGTTGTTTTGCCGACCCTGGCGGGGGTGGCGGGCGCTATGTGCTGAGCTATGTAAGGGGTTATCTCCTCCGTCGGTGCTCTATCTAAATCTGTACTATCGCGCCGCCGAATAATTATTATTGCATGTACAGTACATAGCTGCCTGGATTCAATTGATCCGCCTCCGTGATGCCCCTGATCTTCTGATTAATACAAATCGACCGAGATTAGATGCGGAGCTAATTTAATTGGTTTGGATTTGAAAGGCAGTGTCATGAATATGAGGCTCGTACGTGTGTAAACCTCAACTTACAAAGCAGTAGGTAGGTATATTATAGAATATTCAAAGCTATTTGTATTAAAAACTCGTGTCCGTTGCAAAAAGGAGTGATTCTGGCAGTTAGAAACAATTACAATATTGTTGGTATCGTTACTGAAAAAAAAGAAAATTCTTTTATCGACACAAATTGTCTTCGGTCATTTAGTAAAAGTGGATTTTCCTAGGAAGCTATATCTTAAAATTAAGGGCCCGAATTTGATGCCTCAATCTTTTCTGAATCGACCCCCGTCTGGAGCGTCTGGGAGACGCCCTCGTTATCCAAATGATCATGACAATCGTCTGATCTAGCACATGGGTAAATAGGTAGAATCTTTGTGAGACAACTCACAAAATAAGCATTTACAGGGAATTGATCCAAAAACATTGGCAAGTCGGATGATAAACCTGGAAAGAATCGCTATATTGTGTAACTAGCTTTTGCCCGCGGCTTCACCCGCGTGAAATTTCGTTTGTCACAGCTCGTCATAAATTATAGCCTATATGTTATTCTGGGTTATAAACAATAATACTGTAAAGTTTCATCAAAATCCGTTCAGTAGTTTTTGCGTGTAAGAGTAACGAACATCCAGATATCCAAACTTTCGCATTTATAATATTAGTAGGAAGTAGGATACCTAAGTATGTTTCAGTGAATATGTTTCATCAACAATGCGCTTCAATCAATAAATTGTAATTAACATTGCCCATGACTGTACAATGTACAGGCTGCAGCCTTTTCTCGTACAAAACACGCGAAGGTACACATCATAACGAGTCCTCGATGCCCCTCAAAATCACGTAAAAGCTTAATCCCGCACAATCCAGTTCCTCTCAGGACAAAAGGTGGCTCAAGGGCGACGCAGGGCACGGCCGTATGCCTTATCGACCCCATCGCGGCTGCAAGTGATTTTTATTCAAGGAAGTGCCTGAAATCGGCTGTTCTGGTCCATTTTGCGCTTAGATCTACACACTGGAGTGGTCCAGAGTGGTTTGATTGTTCAATATTATAAGTGTCGTTAGAATCACTCGGGAGCTAATTTTATAATCTTTTAATATTAGTAAGTAGTTACTCGTATACTCATTTCTTTCGTAGTTTATCTAACAAATAAATTCATAAGTATTGAATGTTTCAGTTAGCGCTCCAAATCTATACTGAAATTTTAAAATAGGTAATAAGTACAATTCATATAGCCTAATAAACATTTGTGTAACAACTGCTTATGGTTTAACGGCATGCAAAAAGTTTAAAATGCATTCTAATTAAACCATTACTATTGTCATCTTTGGTGTACTAAATACTAAACTAAAAGACTTTAGCATTTAGCCTTATACTTAGTACAATTTGATTTTATGTGTACCTGTCTGTAAACATTCCTTTAAACATTTCCAAACGCATAAATAAGCGTACAAAACACCGTGAAATGTCATCTGAGCCGAGCCAATCCACAAATCGTCAATAGCGAATCACCGGCGCATCAGCACGCGACGTCTCGCGGCTGGAATGGCGTCTAACCGGATATTGTATCGCGCCTTCATCTCCGGCGCGCTTCCGGATCCGGCACCCCCCCTCCCCCGTGCGTCGCCTAATTACCTCACAACCTCACATATTACAGGCGAGGTACCTGCGATGACGGTTTGTCATCGATACTAAAGTTACGTAAGCTTTGATTACTGTTTTGATGTTTCTTCTGTAACGGAGGCAATTGTTGTTCTATTAACACTCACTCACTTAACACCAGGTGCGATTGCGGTCAAATACTTGCTTTGTCTAGCATAAAAAAAATTGTAACATACATATTTTATGAAGGAACAGAGAATGGTGTGACTGGAGCCTAATGTAGGGCAGCCCTGTATAGCATAAAAAAACAGTACATAAGGTAAGATATGGGAAAATGATTCATCAACCTCTTTAATTATTATCATCATCACTGGTCCGTTGTTGTACAGGCAAACTACTTTTTTTTCCAGTTCAGTAAAATATTCTAGCGGTCGAACTGGCATCCTCTTAAATATCCAGCGTGATGTCAAACCGTTAGGCTATTATTAATTTTATTTTTAATTCATACTTGACAAACTTGTAATTTATTTAAGATCTTGTGATGTTGCTGGGCCCTTCGATGTAATTAACCTCATGACATTCAAATTCAAATTCTTTATTGCTCCAATGTTGGTATACAGTGTGAGTCACGTTAAAGTGTACATATGAAAATAGATGAAACTAGACCTATTTTATCGACAAAAAAGAGGTCAAAAATTTTTTGAGATTTTTTTTTAATTTTTTATAAAATTTTTTTTCTTCCAATTACTTATTGTAAAGAAAACGTAATAACTTTTAAACTAAGCGGTATATCCTGATAAAATAAAAACAGTAATAATTCTAAATAACAGGCAATACTAAAAAAATACATAAAATACACAAAAAAGGCCAACAAATAACAAAAAATGATAATTTTTGAAAAAAATCTGCTTAAAAATTCGTGTTTTTTTGGTTATTTGATAAATTTCTCCAAAAAATGCCCCTATAACTGGTAGTTTTTATTACTTTGTATTATTCTTTATCGTATTACCTTCGTAAAACCAAAAATCGCATGTCTCTATCCCTATCACAACGTTTGCAATGATCGTTTGAACTAAGCCTCTCCGAGCGCGCCATTCAACGCTTCGTTAACAACAAAACTGAAAATGGCTCTAGATTTGTAATTTTGATAAAGACAAGTTAGATTTCAAATAAAAACAAAAGATTTAGAAGTAAAATAAGCATTTTAGTGAAAATTAAAATTGTCTCTACCTGTAGCGGAGAATAATGTTGTGGCAGGCCTTTGTTCAAACGATCATAGCAAATGTTGTGATATGGATAGAGACATGCGATTTTTGGTTTTACAAAGATAATACGATAGAGAACAATACAAAGTAATAAAAACCACCGGTTATAGGGGCATTTTTTGGAGAAATTTATCAAATAACCAAAAAAACACGAATTTTTACGCAGAATTTTTTTCAAAAAGTATATTTTTTTATTATTTTTTGGCCTTTTTTGTGTATTTTATGTATTTTTTTAGTATCGCCTGTTATTTAGCATTATTACTGTTTTTATTTAATTAGGATATACCGCTTAGTTTAAAAGTTATTACGTTTTCTTTACAATAAGTAATTGGAAGAAAAAAAATTCTATAAAAAATTAAAAAAAAAATCTCAAAAATTTTTTGACCTCTTTTTTGTCGATATAAACAGGTCTAGTTTTATCTATTTTCATATGTACACTTTAACGTGACTCACACTGTATAAAAGTTCTTACATATAGACATAGACATAATATAGACATGAGATGAAGTTGCTTAATTATTATCAATATCACACATATTCATCCTACTTACAGAACAAAACGCATATGGCTCTACATGCCCACGACAATGATATTTTAAAACCCACCCCAGCATCCAAACTACATGAGTGTGAACACACCACGACACACTTTACGAATGTCAGAGCCCCCAGGCGATCGCTAAAGTATTTAAACTGCGTTTATGCCACTATTGCTATTATTTTATTGTGTTTATGAATAGGGATGCAAAGAGAATAAACTAGGGATGGGGCAATTGACAGCAATGTTACTAGCAATTCGTATGTTCACGTTAATTTAATGTTATGATTGGTGCGATGACATGTTGTCGACAGTGCTACGAATAGTATTTCAAGGGAAAAATAAAGAAGTGTGCAGGTGGTGTGTATGTATTATTTATCTGTAGTTAACCGGTTAACAACTGGTTCTACTTAAATTATAATAATGAGGGATAAATTAATGGAGGAGTCGGAGTTAAACGTGCTCGATGTTCGAAAACATCATCTCAAAGACTAAAGAATAGAGATGCTAAATTCAAAGTTTGTATTTCTCTAATTTAGCAAAGACTTTAACAGAGTTATTAATAATTATGAATTATCTAGACTTCATCCAAATTATACCTAATTCAAGATTGATGAAAATGTCTTACTTATTCTTGAGTGTAGAGTCAGTTTACTTGTTGTCTACTAAAACCTTTAAAATTGTAACTTTTTATAGGTAACTAGCTGACCCGG